CTTGGAGCCCGCTTTCAGTGAGCATTTCGATGTGGCATGCCTCTGGTGCTGGAGCTGGTGCTGGTTGCTGGTGTTGTACAATACATTTGCCTAGCAGCTTAAGCTGTTTGTGGCATGTGCACTTAGAGGCACTGAACGGAGGCAACCGACAAGAGCTGGCGAGGAAGGGGCATAAGTTCCCAGGCTTCCTTCCAACCTACAAGTTTTCCCAACGTCCAGTGCACACTTAAGGGGATTTCTCCTAACTTTTTTCCTGCCTTTTCTGATTTCCTACACTCTTGGAGAGTATTTTGATTTTGGTGCAGAGCCGGTAGTGGGTTGTGTCTATGTGTATTTCTCCAACAAGGTAGCCACAAACCTTTCAGTTTACTTACGACATAAAAACAGTCGAGCAACAAGAACAACAAGCCTTGATGAGAATACCAATACCGATACTAATATCTAGGGAAAATCCCAGCTGATATAGTGCACAAGGGTATGCATAGCTTCGGCCATATAATCTAGAATCCCTTTTCTCCTTTTTTGCCACTGCCACGACTGCAACTTAAAGGCACTAAAGTTGCACAAAATTAAGCATACTTCTCGGCTCTCAGCATCATATTATGCTTATCATTATGTTTATGCTACGACTACGCTACGAGTATATGTTAGCCCTAGTGTTGTTGCCATTTTCCTGGCCACAGCTGCTGCCCGAAAAGTTCATTTCCCTCCGTCTAAGGAGCCGTAAGGTGTTTTGGGCTAAAACTTCCATAGAAGGAGAGGTGTTTCTGGGCTAAGGAAATCCTGGCATTGCACAAACTTCTTAATTGCTTTTAAAGTTTCGCAAATATTTCCTTTGAAACTCTTCGATCGCAAACTAATTCATCGTGGACACAATTTCCGTGTTGCTTAATAAATGTCTATTAATAAAATATCAATAAAAGAGAGAAATATTTCCCTTGTTTATTAGCTTCTCACATACTTTTTATGCTGATTAATTGCCTTTTAATATAAGCCAAAACTTTTCTTCAGAGAACAACAGCTGCAAAGGGGAAACAGTTTTGCATAGAATTAAACGAAATTTGTTTTCCATTTTGCTCCTCCCTCCAACCTCAAACGAATATTGACCGGCCAAATAAGCTGTTCAAGAAAGTTTCAAAGTTGCGGTAACAAAACTGAATTATTTTGTTGTTTTTTTTTTTTGGTGTAATTTGGCCAACAAGTTTCGTCTTACAAGGTAATCCCCGATGATCTACAAAGCCCAGCTTCTGAAAAGCTACGTACGCTTTCAGTTTAATTTTCAACAATGGATAAGTTCATTCAAATAAAATTGAATACTTTCGTCAATGTGCATAACTTTAAAATGGGATTTTAGGCCAAACATTGAGTGTGTACAAAATGTTCATAGCCTTTTAATCTTTACGAGAGCTTAAAAACAAACAAAAAAATATTATTGACATATGTGTATTGTTCTTGGTTTATGCTTAAGCCCACATACGATCGATAAAGTTCATTTTTCTTAGCTCATTTAAATGTGCCACAAAAACCTTTTCCCCAAGGATCTCATCCTATTTTTGTCTCCCATTTTATTGCCTTTGCGTAATGTTTAATTATACGCGGGCTGATGATGTCCTGATAGCTTTTCCTTTTCGTTTTTTGTTTGGCGCATAAACATAACGCAGTTTATATTTTATTTATTTTTTCCCCTTTTTTGGGGAAACCAATCATAAAACCTTCCGAAGCGCAGCGTCTACCAAACGGTTTTATGACATTCTTTCTGCCCTGGTATCCTTCTAAAGCCACGCCCCTGCCGCCCATCCACACATGCGGCTGGGGGTAATTTGCCATAAAAAATTGGAGCACAGGCTCGTATTTGTGCAATTTCACAGAAATTGTCAATTTGCACTCCCCCAAAGTCTAAGCCGGAATGATGATGACGAGCGATGCCGGGAGGGCCCTAGTGGGGTCGAAGAAGATAAGAATGGAGCCTCCGGCTCCAGGACTCGGGGACTTGGCACTCGGGGATCGGGAATCGGGAATCGGGCACGCAAATACGCCTTGATATTTTTATGTGTCTGTGTGCATTGGAAAATCGACTGTTAGCATTTAACGCTGCAAATTCACCGCATTTATGTGTTCTTCCTTGGCCCAGACTTTATTTGATTTTCATTTAATTTCACACACTGACACCGCCCTAAGAATTGGCATAACAATTACCTCGGAAATGGGCAATGGACGAAGGAACACGAAGGATGGGTCTGGTGGTGTTTGTGGTGGTGCACGCGAAGGCGGATGAGTCCAAGCACCGTCCGGGCACTGAACTGAATCCCCGGCCCAGCTTCGGCCCGGGATATTTGCTATCTGCAATGCACTAACAATGGCCGCCTCAATGGCACGTAATTGCAGTGTACACAGGCGCACGACGCACAGTGGGACATACTGGGGATAAATGGGTGGGGATTTTCCTTAAGGCTTATAAATAAATAGTAGTTATCATATTACACATAAAATAATATTTTCTTTCAAATCGTTGTAATTGTTATGCAAAAGTATGCAAAAGTAATATTATGTCTTTAAAGTCACCCAAAACCACAGATTCGTTCCACAGTACCAGCAACTACTGTGCTCTATGGCAACATATCCTTGCAACTAGCGCTTCCGTTTCCGTGCGTCAAGGGGAAGACTCTTGCTCGCTCTTGTGCCTTTGGACGGGCCTCTTCTTTCCATTGACGATGCTGCTGCTGCCATTGCTGCCGCTGCTGCTGTTGCTGTTGTGGATGCCACTTCAGACCGCCTTTGTTGTCGCTTGCCGTGTGAATGAGTGCAATTAGCAGTGCCACTTGCTCTCAACGATGCCGTTTTGTTTGCTGTCCGGCCGGACTGATCTGCACCGAGAGTTGCATTAAAAATTAATTGTCCACTGTCTGTGGCCGTCTGTCCGAGTACTCTTGTATCTCTCCACATTGACATTGTTTCGGGTCGTGATTGTGCAGCACAAAAGTCGATTAAACAAGAAAATTGTTAAGCACGAAATGAGTCCGTTGTCTTGGAAGTACTCGTAATACTCAAAATATGTTTGCCTTAACTTTGATGCATTTCATTAAAACTTAAAGGAGCTTCTTCAACTTTTTGATACAGTTCTGTTTACTTTTAGCGCTTCCAGAAATATGTGTAAATAAAATTGTCAGAAATATTTTTCCAATTTTTAAAGGCCACTTAGACTTCCTTTATTCGCTTTACTTTCGCAACGTATTGGGATTTTCTGGGGTTGAACAGTTTTTGATTAAAATTACATTTGTTGCGCGCCTTTGAAGTGTCCGGCTGCCTAGAGCCCAACACTCTCAAGAGGGTCAATATTTTGCCAGCTTAGGAAGGGCACGTGAGCCGATGAGCCACAAGAGAGATGGGAGAGGGAGCATTTCCACCCACACTGTGGATGGTCACGTTCTGCCTCTTTCGCTCAGTTTCCTGCTTGTCTTTCTACCTTTTTATTTTTCGTTGTGTGGTGGGCTTTGGGCCGGCATAATTTGCAGGCTTGGCCACGTTAAGGTCCGGTCCTGATGGATTGTTTGACTAATTAATTTTGCTACAAAATTTCACAAATTGCATTGGGCCCGGGCCAAAGTTATTAAATTTTTAATGGATGCTTAAAGGCCCGAAGGCGCTTATGTGTTTTTATTTTCCTACAGCCATCTGTTTAGCATTTAAAGTGATTTTCATTTGGATTTTCCCTTAATGCTATTATGTTCTCTCTCCACATTTTCCCTTCTTCCTTCTTCCCACTGAACCACTTTATCTCTGCGTTCTGTCCCGACATTCTTTTGGCTCTCAATTATTTAGCCATTGACAATTAGAGACTTTCGCAGATGCTGCCGCATCTAATGCGATTCTGCCTCATTATTCTGTACAATTGTTCATTTTCCGTCGATGCTCCAAGAGAATTAAATTTGATTCATTGCGTTCTTTGGCGCCATTATCGCTCAGCTCCTTCGCCCGTGAAGTGTCTCATGGAAATGCGACAAGCCGGTAAATTGTCGTGTTTTCATTCAAATGGGAATTTTCTTCAGGGATTATTTCTCTGTAAAACTATGAATTTACGATCTTTATCAATGGAAGATTGTTCTATTGCTGCCAGACCAATATTCACGAGTTATTGAGGCACCATAATTTAAAGGTGAATGTATTTTTATTCGAATGAATTCGTTCCAATTGATTTAATTTTCTAGTTGTTCCTTCAAAAAATTTTACAATTTAAATGCACCGCGTGGAAAATTCCATACAAATTTCATTTTCCCCACAGAGATGTTGCAAGCCTCTTTGATCTTTTGCGAATGGTTGTGTTTTCGTTTAAATTCGATCCGCCTGAGTGCAGAGGGGTAAACGTGACATCAAAAAATTCCACTGAACCAAAGGCAAGACCCCAAGAGGGACAGAGCATCGGCAGCAAAATATCTGAGGACTTGCCGGTCCCCCTGGACATACGGCTTAAAAAAACAATGGACTGAAGCGACAGCAGAGACGAGATGGGATAGTCGGTCCCAAAAGTCAACTGTTTGATCTGTGCCCCGGGAGCGCATTGTCAGCCCAGAAACTAATTAGCGCTCATGCCGTATGCCATGTACCATATTTCCTTTCCTTTCCTTTCCCTCCCTTCCCTTACCCAATCTACCAACAGAAGGGGGTTCTGAATGCACATGCGTTTAATTAGTCGACAATCTGCTCAGCTGTCATCTGAGAATTTCAGATGAGGCACCGCTTTTGATCGACTGCACATAATTGTTTCATTTCATTCCATTTCAGATTATTTGATTGAATCCTATTCCCTTTACAGTACACGGAATTTGCCTTATATATTTTATTTCGAACTAAAACAATATTTGAAATATTTAAATCAATACTGTGGCAAATTCTGGGTATCAATATTGTTGATCATTTCCAGAAATTTCCCTTACTTTATGCTATTTATTGTATGTATACTGCAGCTCCACAATCTTGTCTCTAATCCCCTACAGGTTCACATACGTAAATATATCCTATATATTGTCACATTTTCTAGCCACCTGCTGCCGTTTTGTAATTTGCTTAATTTGCTTCACCTGTCAGAAATGGATTTGTTACGGCGATAAAATGATCAGGAAGAGCCGAAGCTTTCCGATACTGGTACAACTTTTGGCACAGAGCGTGGCACAGAACGGTCGGGATTTTTTCCAATTAGGTATTCCCAAGTATTAAGTGATTCGCAGAGGCAAAGCATCCATCATACGGTAATCACGGGGCAAACATAAACATCTGAGGAACGATATATGTAAATTTTTAAAGATTTCTTGCAGGTGTGCAGTGAAATGGTATCGGCATGGAACTATTTTTATTTTGCGGTAATCGTCTGCATTGCATTTGTCTGCAGTGTTAAAGCGGTCGATGTGCATTGTCCCCCTTGGCCGAGATGTGGATACCTTAATCTTTGCTGCCAGCGTACCAAAAATAAAATAAGATCGCAGTTGGCTGCATTGAAAGACAACGAGCATGATACGGAAATATAGTTAAAATATTTGTAAATATATATAATAAAGATATAAAGCTAATGAGATCTTCTCCTGCCCTTTTATATTTTTATTAAATTGAATTAAAGCAAACACGAAAACAGGGGCTTTTCTTTGGGGAGAACTGTTGAAAGTTTTTTGTCTACCAAAGTCGTGATCATCGGAGGGTTTTTATCGGTTCTGAACATCATTGCCACATCGAAGCATTCGGAAAAGAATAGAGCACTTGGCTCTGGGGAGTCAGAACTCTTTCTATTAATCGTGTATCAACACGGTTCTGGGGCTGAACAATCTCGTTATAAGCTGGAACAAGCTGATTCCCAGAAACTGTTCCACTCTCCAACAATTTGGCTTTCTCGACAGTCGACAGTTACTCGAATATTACGAGTATGTGCAATAAGGAAAAACATTTCTGTGCAAGTGATGCAGATACTTAATGCAATGAAATGAATTCAAACTGGAAGTGCTTGCTTATCGCGTTGGTGGTATTGATCGCATGGATCCCTCCTCATTCATTTTTTGACGATTTTCTATCGAAATTGTGTCCGCCCTGGCCGAAATGTCACAGGATAAATAGATGCTGCCAGCGCTCGAGGCGTTTGCGAATCAAATCTGTAAAAGCATAACGAATAATAAACATGACTCACTTTTGCATAACCATAACGAGAATCGTAGCGCAGATTTTCGGCCAGAGTCGAGAAACACATTTGCATAATGATGGCGTTGAGAGATGGGGGGACAGGTACCATCTGCTCTTGTCAGACGACGACGACGACGACGACTCCTATCTGTCCCCTGACAGCAGATTTGCTTGCCCAAAATTTGAGTCTATGCATGCAACTGCCTGCGGTCTGGACGGGTTTTGGCCTACAGCCATGTCTAGAATAACAGTTAGCAGGGCTGTGAGTGCTGGGGGGCTGGAGAGGCTGCTGTACTTGTGCTAATTGTGCCGCAAGGAGCTTGAGCTTCCACCATAGGACATCGTATTGTGCATACATGTGGCAGACTGGCAGCTAATTTTTGCTAGCTGTCAGCGCTCTTCATATAAATCTTTCAAAGTCAACAGCATTGCACCCACGTGCCACATCAATTCACATTCTTGTCTGTCGCACGCACTCCCCCACTGCCGTATCCATCATTTTGCAATCGTCAGTGGTGTCACCGCATGCAACGTCGCTTATCGCTCAGCTCTGTAATGATGGCAGCAGACCCCAAAGTCGCATCGCGCATAGCACATGGCCCCGACCCATAGCCCAACCCGTGTACCATGTACGGACCATCCATCTGCACGAACTTCTGTTGTACATTTTTCATAACGCAATTCATGTTATTCATGTGCCAGCGACAAGTCTTCATGCCCTCAGAACCATCCAGAGGCCAATATGCGGCACAGTGGTTGCAGATTGGTTTTTATCGCATAAAAATGCCAAAAATGTTAAATTTATATAAGTACCTAGAGCTTAAATCTGTAAGAAACGCTCTGTTACAGGAATTTACTAGTAATATTTGTATCCATATTTATCTATTCTATATGCTAATATGTTCTACGCAATAGTGGACCAAACATTGAAAAGATTTCTTTTATTTTAACTACAAAGTTTACCTCAACAACAGACAGAGATTTATAGCCCTCAGCATTCCACTAGTTGAATCATTAATGTAATGCACAATCTTTTTTATTTAATGATCGAACATTTTCGGGTATTTATAGCTCATGCTGGTCCACTGTGCGATGTCATAAAAATTGTCTCATTAATCATCACACGACACGCTGAAGCTCGTTCTTGTGCTGTGTGTAGGGGTTCGTGCTGTTCCCCTACTCGGAGACCGGGCTATTTCTGTGCTGTTTGCAGGAAACATGGACTTAGTGTGAAGATCCAGCGAGCAATTAAATTGGCTCCCCTCTGGAGGAGCATCGATGCAGTCCCGTCCCATTCCCATTGCCAGCCCCATCGCTCCACTCTTAAGTAAAGCGAACAAGTGCAGGGAGCATAAATCAAAAGGAGCGCTTCGCCCCCCAAAACCAGACGCTGGAAATGGGAATTTTATTTTTATATGCCATCCATGGGCATGGCATTTTAAATTGTCTGTGCCTTATTTAAAATAGCAACTAATTAATTTATTTTTTCACGCCATGGCTGGGAAGTGCGCATTAATAAACAATTAAGTCGTTTTAATTGCAGTTTGCCTTGTGGATTATAAATTGCCGAGTGAAAATCGCCGCACCACCCAACACCCAACACCCAGCATCCATAATGAGCGAGGGCTGGCCTTGCTGGCAGCTCCGGCCTCAGCTTCAGAGCCAACTAAAATTCGTTTATTATTGATCAGTCTCGGCCATAAGCTGCTTAACTTGGCATTGTGCTCGTACACCAGAGTGTTCGCCTGCTGGCTCCCCCGTCCACCAACCCACTGCTCAGCGGCAGGTGGTTTTTTGGCAGGCACTTGGGCGATTCCTGGAAAATTTTGCAGCTCTTTTGGCTAAGCTGAAAATCTGCTCATCACACACACACACACTCTCATATGGTAATTAAATTTGTGATGCATTGATAATGGAAAGTCGTGGCAAAAGTATCGAAAATTTCTGCCATTTACTCTTTGATGTAATTTCTACACAAATTTGTATGTATTCAAGTTTCAAAGTCTTGGAAGACTGCTACCATGAAATGGAAATTTCCACTTGTAAACTTTTGCCTTTGTCTCTTGCTTGGATTAATTTTCTATGAAAAGTTCCAAGAAATATAATTCATTTGATGAGCATCCATTTACATACCTTGCTAAAGTTCAGCTCTGCATATAGTTGAAGAAGATCTGCAAGTAGAGAGGAAGATAACTCATTTTAATAGAATAATTAATTCAGGGAAAAATCTCGCTCAATTTTCCCGGAATATTGTACTCGACATTCAGGCAGGGCTGACACTCCATTTCCTTCGGCAGAAAACTCTCGCTGTCATCTTGGCAAAGTTAATATGAAAGAACACGCTAAGCAGGCTTGAATGATGTGTATCAAGGACGAAGGGGAGAAAAACTACCAACTGTGTCAGCAGAAAATGAAAGAATAGAAGGAACAGGACTCAATGCAATGTCTGCTGAGAAATGGATGGGAAAAAGAGGAACAAGGCCGAGAGGAAAACAATATGGGAATGACTATAGACATTGAACACGAAAAGGGAAACTGGAGCGAAGACATTAGCCTCGAATGACAGCAACAAGATACGAGATAGACACTTGGCTTATATCCGCATGCTGTTCTCCCACATTCAGCAACAGCAACAGCAACAGCAACATGCAACCGAAAGGCGTCGAAAGTGCGTGCAACAAATTGAGGCGAGCTCGGTGAACAAATGCCAATTGACAGACAGATATGCAAACAATACTTGAAAGCTTTCAATGGAAATTGTGGCATGGAAATTCTGGGATTTTAAGAAATTTAAAAACAAACTGCACATAATGGAAGGCGCATAGAGAAGTAACGTCGATAGTTGTTCTCCTAAGAATGAATGGATTTCCCTTCATTTAATATATGGCTTGTCGCATTGTATTAATTTACTCTTAAGCTCTTAAAATGTTTGCTGTTTTCAATTTGGGATATTTAAACATAAAGTCCTAAAATGTGCGAGTACTACTCTCTCCAACAGCATCACCGTGAGCTCATTTCAGGCTTTCACGCATTGCAATTTCTGTTCAGCCCTTAGCCGGCGAGTGAGCCGAGCCGAGCCCGAGCCCAAGACGGAGTCTTAGTAAGCAATCTGTAACATGTTGCCCGTTTGAGTTGTTCTATTGAAAAGCGTTTTTCTGGCGCAAGGACAGATGGCCTGCTCTGGGCTTGGCCTACATCCCCATATTCATCACTCACTCACTTAGTCAGCGTGCTGCCTCAGAGGCTGAGGATCGAGTGGGTGAGTGGGTGAGTGGGTGAGGTGGCCCAGGCCCACAAGCCAAAGACGATGCTCCTTCGTCGTCCTCTTCTTGTTGGGCAAATACAGCACCACCAGCTGCCATCTGGCAGAAGGCTTTTATTTCCCATTTCTAGCAGAGAGTCCTAAGTGCAGAAGAAGAGAGAGAAATGCCTTTCATGCCTTTGCTTTAGTTTAAATATTTATGTTAGCGCGGGCATTTTACGAGAAATATTTCGCAATTGCTTCTAAAGGCGGCTCTCAAGTATTTCGCTATTATTATTATTGAAATCCCGGGCCCAGCCCAGACCAAGATCCGAACCGCCCAAAACGAACTTATGGTAAGTATTTTCTTCATCTGCTGCTGCCTTTGCATTTTGGCCATCGCCTCCTGGACTTCTCTCCTATATTCTAAGCATACCATTTGCCTGAATATCCAAGGGATTGCCTAGCACTCTGCCTAAAAGCTATGCTGCCTTGCCTTGCCTTTGATTCCGAATGCAACGATAAATTTCTACTGATTGCATAATAACGAATTGAGGCAATGCTAATTGATTGGAAATTGTTACAGAGAAACTGCCACCTTTGTTCAATTAATTCATTGTGGCTGTCATTCCACATCCGAATTCAAATCCATTTATACCAATTTTCCGCACTTCAGCCTGCAGAAGTGGCAGACAATATCCAGCACACACACACACACAGCGATACTGGCAGTCTTCGTGGTTGGGCAATTTTTCAAAAGATAAAATCAAGACCAAACAAATCAAATCAAATGCAGACAACCGACACAGACACAAACAGATACACAAACAGATACACAAATGCCCACAAATGCTACACAGACAACACAATGGAAACTACAAGCAACAAAACGTGTAACAGCAAACAAGAAAAGTAAATTAATAGAAAACAATAACCATTCCCTTTATTATTATTACTGCAGTGAGACTTCGAAGTGGGTCTCTAGATTCGAATTTGTTTTTTTTTTTTTTTTGCTACCCTCACAGAGAGTACTTTAATTTTGATCAGGTTTTTGCTGTGCAGAAAAGTAAGAATAATCGAATTGAAAAGGGATTTATTTATTTTTAAGCTATAGATCTGTCTGTACAAATACATTTAGCAAACTTTTCCAATTTGAATTTAATAAAATTCTTTATAATTATGTGAATATTTTACATCTGTTTGTAAAACTATTTATATCCATACCAGGCACTTATAGGTCAAAGCACAACAATGACTACGTATATATATTCAAAAAGCAATGTACGATATCTGCAAGGGTATGTCAAGTTTCGGAACCTAAAGTTAGAATTTCTTTTTGTTTTTGCGTTGTTCTGGTGGTAAATGCCCAAGGTTCGTTGGTGATGTGGGTGTTTGTGCATGTGATTTACTCAACGGTATGTTTGTAAAATACAAATCATGTTGAACGCATTCGGCCTTGCCCCAAAAGTATGCCACACAAACTCACTATTCCCATGGGCTGACTGTGGAGCTGCCTGATGGCTGATATCTGGGGGGAATATCTGAGGTTTTGTCCTGGCAAATGGTAGAGTGTTTCTCTTTTTTATAAACTCCCTGCAACAACAGCAGCATGCACACCTTCCTTCCCACCCGTAAACTAAGAAATCAGGCCCGACTAAAACGAGAGAAAAAGCAAAGTGGGATAAAAGTCGCACAAGGAAAACTTTTGCCAGGTGTTTGCCGGTGTGCGTGTCTATCTGTGTGTGCTTTGTGTGCAAGTGTTTTTGTGGCATTACGTGCATTGCATGTCGAATGTTGGTAACAAAGTCTAAAAAAACATCAAACACAAACATCTAGCTGCGGCAACTTTATCTAAAGTACAACGTACCCCCACCCCCTGCTGTTTGGTAACACAACCCACCCAAAGCAGTTTCATGTTTTAATACCCTACGCTGCAGGTATTATGAGTTTGGGTAAAGGTTGCACAAACAGATCGAAGAACAACCACAAACCGATCATAGCAAGTTTATTTAAGTCTGAAATATTTATATGCCAACAGTTAGCTTAGTTTTGAGGCTATTAGTAGTCTTCTTTTTGCTAGACGCAATGTATAATTTTGAGATCAGATAATTATATTCTGTAGCTCCTGTTTAAGCTATTAGAAGTTTAATTTGTAGAACTTTAAGAAAAAGATTCCAGATTGAATCATTTTCCAAGGGTACTCAAGTGTCGTCACCGATGCAATCCATCCTTTACCTGTTTGCCTGCCCGATTGGTGACCAGCAAGTGGGGCCCAGAGTGGGCGGGCTCTTTATCATTTCTTGTTGTTTTGGCCAAGAATTCACCTTCTTTAAGCCGAAAACGAAACTGTTGTGTGGCTCGCCCCATCTCATGTTGGTATTTTTTCCACCGAGTTTTATTTACTTTTGCCCCGTTCGTGTCGTGTTTGCCATGCTGCCTTGCAAATGGCTCACCAATGATTTTTAATGCGATTTAAAAAAATAAAAATAAAGTAAAAAAAACATTACATGAAGCAGTGCCCCCCCGCCGACCCTGTCAAAAGTATCGATGTAGTGTGTGGACCCATTTGAGCGGCTTTAGCCTGACAGGGCAACCTTTTTTAAGTGGCTGCTGGGCCATGGAAGTGGCTCGTATTCGGTTTCGGTTTCAGTTCCAATATTTTTTTGGCTTGGGTCGCTCCTGAGATAATGTTCTCGATGGCCGTGTGGACGTGGGTGCCTGGAGAGTGACTTTATTTAATGCCATTAACGCAAATTGAAAGTTTTACGCTTTTAAGTCCCTTCGCCCTGGCCGTTGCATGCGCAATTGAGTTTTTTGGGTCTCTGATTCGTAATGCCTTCTTTATGACATTTCATCGGATAGGAATTACCAAGGCAGGGCAGGGCTGGAAAACTGGAAAACTGAAAAACGAATTCCTCTATATAAAGGATTTTCCGTAAGGCCATTCATTGGGTTGTATAATTCACTTTGGCCACTCATTATCCTGCCCCTGAGTGGCGCACAAGAAATAAGCCAAAGCCCCATACCCAGCCACGTAATTGTGTTGCCTTTCATAAGCCAGAGACATCTGCAGTGGGACGAAAATAGAAAAACTAGCTCAGCCCATTCACATTTTCTATAGCCTCTCTATGGGTGACAGCCGCCAAGGACGCGGCTAGGGCTTTATTGCCAACACTTTGTCGCCGCGCGAAACACACGCGACAGTGGAAACCCATTACAACTACTTAGGGCATGTAAATAACGCAGAAATAAGCCAAGGCGAGTGATGAGCCAAGCAGGTAGAACAAGCCCCAGTCTGATACCCACTCCCACTCCACGCCCCCATCCTGTGAAGCATTAACATAATCGTTATGGTTATGCGCGACGTGTGCATAATGGCCAAAGGAGGGAAGAGCTCCCTGGGAGAGACTGTGCAAGAGCTCGACAGCAAGAGCTAAGCAGCAGAGACACAGACAGAGACACAGCCATAGACAGGGACACAAGGATAAAAGATAAAGGATAAAGAATAAACTATGTTAAGTGCGCCGACATTGTGATATATAGTTAGCTCTACCCTTTGGAGGGCAACAGCTACTGCTGGTTTTTTGAGGTATTCACTTGATGGGATTACACTTTGAAACGAATTTACACTGAGAAAACATTACAGAGTGCCACAGAGTGGCATAGAAATTCAGGAAAATAAATTTATTTACTTACTTTTAAGGTTTTTTATATGTATATCAGAGAGAAAGGGATTTACTCTCTTTTACTCATAAAAAATATTATTAATTTCTTCGATTAAGGTATTTTCTTTCCTTTTCTTTCCAATAAATATACAAGAGCAAACGCTTCTAAACATCTCTTGCTCGAGCCCTAAACGGCAATAGTTTCCACTGAAAAATATCCACCCTCTTTCTGCTATTCCTCAGCTACAAAAAGTATTTCTTCGCT